TGAAAATATGCCATCTCAAAAAAAAATTGCAAATTTAAAAAAAAAATTTATTTTTTTTCAGATTTTTTTTTGAGTATGCAGTCATATAGCCCATTAAATTTGAGTATAATAAAGTACAAGTTTTAAGCGATTGCAAAACTGGCGTTAATTTTTTTTCTTTGAAAACGGTTTTGCGCTTTTTCTTCCATTAGAAAAAGTGCACATAGCACTTACACTACATAGATTATTATCATAGACTATTATAATTTGATCGCTTGCAATTGGAATCCAACAATTAAGTAGACAGCGTCCACTCTACATTAAAAAATGTATTCAATCCGTCGATATATTCACCAATGGACTACATAAGTCGTATGCGACAGGCGAGGCCATCACATCCTTATATTGTTAATTATTTAGAGTCTACTTATGCAATTATTTCTTGTATATACGAGCTTTCATTGGATATCACCCATCGAAACTAGGAAAAAGTGCATTGGGTCAAGCTAATACGTTGACCGAAATAACAGTTCGCATATCATCTGGCAATTTCATGGTTTGTACAAAGTATGTGTCCAAAATCACTTCGCATTAATTTTTATTGCAAAATTCCAATAAAACGTTTCTGACCATTTTTCATTACATAACAGGAGCAACGGGCAGTTAAATAATCGAGTCCTCGACTTCTATACATTGCATCTAGGCCTAACGGCAGTATTATGTACAAATTGCATACGATTCCATACCGCCAAAAGCAAAATTAAATCGTGTATAAAAACAGTTATGCATGTGCTTTAAAGCGGCGCAAATGTTGCTCACGTCGTAAGAAGTAAAAAAAATGATTTTTATTCCTAGATCAATAGCATATTTTGATATACTCTTTTTTTTAATACGACATTTGCAAAATATTAACTATTGGCAACAGGAACCAGTTTTTTTGCTCTCCTGAAAAGTTATTAAAAAAACACTACTGTTTTTGTTGGCGCAGCGTCGATATGTACGTACTAATGTACGATTGGTCTGCTTTCGTCTTCCCCTCGCCGCTCCCATCCACACAAATTACTCAATTTCTGCGAATTGGCACGTAGCGCGCCAAATAGTAACCCAACGTTTACGAAATATTTAGGTTTTTGTATAAGTTTGCATTTAATAAAACAATACTCGTACATTTTGTATGGAGAATAATAATAATTCATTGAAAAGTCTGCATGTATACATGTTCTCGACGATACATGAAACCTTTATGAAGATTAACCATAAAAATTGTGTTTCATTAACAGCTGAAACCAAAAAAACTAAGTCCGCGAAAATAGGTTAAACGCAAACTTGAGTTGACATATGTACTCATGTAGACACCCTGCAGTAAAATTTAGAGACAGTCTGACAAAGAACTAGTTCGGAACTACATATATCAGAACTATCTCTGAACTAGTGCAAAAAGGATGCAGAGCGGGACAGTTGAAACTTGCAGTGTAAATGTGGAAATGCTCACTACTCGTACATTACAACAGTAGCTCAGCGATAATACCTCTGACTCAAGCATCGTTGGTCGCAAGTTCAAATCGCGGTGGAGGCAGTTGTGAGTTTTCAAATTTAATGAACTTAAATTGTTGCGTGCAACTTAAATTTCTTTTAAATAAAATATGTAACAAAAATGGAATATGTAACAGAAAAGAAAAAACTAAAAAAAAAACGAAAATTGAATCTTAAAAACGGTTTGTTATAAAAAAAACTGTCCAAAACGGAACCAGTTAAAAACTAGTTGCAAAGTAATGCACTGGGCGACAATTGCCACCGCCAATGACATCGCCGTGTAAAATTGGACAGTTAAAGGATTGCCTGGGTATTGAGCTAGAACTAGTACTGTCGGCAAAAGGTCTAGTTCTACGCTAGTTCTGAGCTAGGCGCGAGCTAGTCAGATTTTCTGTAGGGCATACATATGCACATGTACAGTATCGTGGGCCGAAAATCCGCTTTTTTAGAATTTTAATTGGTAATAGTAAAAATATGGTTCATAATGGTGTAAAAACAATCTGTGTAAAAGATGGTAATTTTTGGTTAATATCTTAGGCTCGCCCAAGTCCATCGAATTGTTACTCACAACATGGAAAATGCTTGTCCTTACAAAATTATCACTGTCGGTTTATGAAATAGGCCCCAGGGCTGCCAACTTGGCTCAAACCTAGCCATTTTTGGCCCTATTTTATCTGCAAAGGCACTTAATTATTCAATTTGACAGAAAGTGCCAAAATGGCACTTTTGTAAAATGGTAATATTTCAATACCTTGCTCGTACTGCTTTTTCACAACCTAAATTTGCTAATTTCTATAGTGTATACAACTGGTTTATCTTATTTCGGCATCGGACTTTTGTTTTAGGAATGTGTTTCTAATTTTCATGCTAAATGGGAAGAATTAAAAAAAATTTCACCTTTTTTGGCACTTTTATTTTTCTATTTGGCACATTTGGGCACTTTTTTATCCTCATTATGGCACTTCATAGCTAGGGATAGTTGGCAGCCTTGGTTGCCACGTTACATTTGAACGATAAAACCACATATGTTAGTGATTTTAGAAGTTTTGATTTTATTAAAAAGAATTAGGGCCGGTTGTTCAATGCCTGATTAACACAAAGCGGAGGTAGAAGCTCCGGTTAAATACACCGACTGCTTTATCGATCACATGTCATATGAATGATGTCGAAATCGTCGATACTAATGTTTAACTGGAACAACCAGATATGGAACAACCGGCCCTTACAGGTCTATTCTACGCTGGTAATAAAAAGTTTGTAACCGGTAAATAAAGTTCCTGTCAACTTTTAAACCCTTTTCGCATTCTGTGTACCCTTGTAACCGGTAAATTTTGTTACCATCTCATAAACTGGTAACAAAGTATTGCATTCCCCAACATCAGAGTGTCGATATATTCAAACAAGTAATTTTTAGCAAAAAAAACCCACTTAAAAAAATATATTTATATCTATATATTTCTTGATTCAATGATCGGATCTAAACCAAATTAGTACGGGACCAGCTCTGAGGCACTACCTTTCCGTTGCAAAAAGAATTATCGAAATCGGTGGATGTGGTCCAAAGTTATGCGGTAACATACATAAAAAAAAAGAAAAATATTCCGACGAACTGATAACCTACTCCTTTTTTGGATGTCGGTTAAAAAGAAAGAGAGATCCGATAAGAGAATGTACTCAAACTGACATTTATACTTTTCAAAATTCAGGTGCGGTTTAACAAATTCTTAATGAAAAATAATTCACATGAAAAATTAACAAAAAATATAATATTTGAATATCTATGAGAAACACTGCAACCGCTGTGGTGGCAAAGGATAAAGGTACCAGTTACAGAAGGACTTGGCATCTGTTGGCATTTCCAGATTGTACTTAAAAATCGGGTTGAACATACATGCATATTTAATTAAGCTTAACCCTTTCCCAACATTTTTTGAAGTAGTGAACAAAAAAATTTTTTTTTGAACTCAACTCAGAGATTTCGACTTGAATAGACATAAAAAAAATTTGGTCAATATATTAACCAATTTCAATGAAAGGAGTAAAAAATTCAGGAAATTTTTTCATTCTATTTTTATTTACTTCAAAAATTAACACAGTTTACATTGAAATTCAGGCATTTATTTAGAATATTTTTTATTATATTTACGAATATTACTTAAAGAAATAGTGTTATAACTTTTATGAAAGCAAATAGAATACAAAAAAAATTAAAATATCCTTTCAATTCAAATTGCAGCCAAAAATTAAATAAAATATGCCTTACAATATTAACAAACGACAAAATAAATACATATTCAATTCAGTTTAATAAAAAAATATAGTACATGCAAATATACATACATATGTATATAATTATGAAATATGTTTAGTTACTAGAATATTTATGGAAAGTTTGGAAACATGTTTTTTCGCGTGAAATACATAAGTACACTTTACATTTTAGGCAAATAAAGTAAGTACGCGCTGTACAACCAGGATATTTACATCTCGTAGGATATGTAAGGCTTTGTCTTCAATAATTTCCTTATCTGGTCGTGCCTCATACTTTTTTTTTGCTGGTCGATGGTTCAAGATTTATTTCGAGATTTTGCCGTGGTCTTCCTCGCTTCCGTATTTCGCTATTTTTGGAGAACATCACAAGGTGATTTGCCACTGCCATTCGAAAATGTAACAAGTCCATTATGCGTTTTTTCGGAACATTTTGAATAGCGCAGTCTTTTCGATATAACAGCCAAGAAGCTACCAAAGCGAAGTCAGTGAAATGAGATACCATCCTCAGTGTCCATTTAGTTGACTTCAGAAATATTCTATAATAACTTATTAGCTGATCCAACAAGTCAACGCCGCCCATCGATGCATTATATCTCCGCACTATTTCAAGTCTTTTAACTTCTATCATTTTCTTTGATTGCTTGCAGTATCTTTTAACAATATCTTCTTCTCCTGTTCCAACGAAATTTGAAGCAATATGTATTGGTCTGCTATCTTGCCACTTTACGAGACATATTTTACGATCGTTGCTCACTAAACATTCGTATGCGCCACGCCCTTTTTTTGCAGTTCTTTGTCTGAGCCCAGCGTAGGTCTCCCGAACCTATTTATGCGTGCTGTCCCAGTTGCATTAATTTTCAAATGTGTAAGAATTTCAAGCAGGTTGTATGAATTGAAAAAGTTGTCGAAATAAAGATTATGTCCACTGTTGACTAGTCTTTTACATAGATGTAGGACAATTGCGGTCGAGAATCCATATTTTGTTAAAACTTGCGGGTCTAAACAAGGTTGTTTTCCTTGATATAACTCAAAGTCATAAGGAAAGCCCGATTTACCGCAAATAACGTAATTTTTTATGCCCCATGGGTTTGGCTTCCCTTTGTGATAAACTTTACAAGAAAGTCTTCCTTTGAAAGGTATTATTTGTTCGTCAATGCACACATCTTGTTCAACCGGCTCTTCAAGGCATCGATTCCTAATAGCATCTATTAACGGACGTATTTTCACAAATTTTGTCACCACATTCCTTGGGTATTTTCAAATTATCGGTGAAATGTAATAGCGTACGCAACTGTGCAAATCGTCTCATTGTCATTGAATCTTTAAAAAGTGTAACACCTAAAGTCGGATCCCAAAACATTGACATTCTCCGTAATTGCATACTTCTCATAGCAATTTGCAGACCTATTAGAACTTCAATTTCCTCTTTTGTGGCATTTTTATAGCCTGTAACGTTTCTCTGCGTAGCATAAGAATTTGTATAAAATGTTGCCTTTTCGAATACTTCGGGAGTAAAAAACTGTTTAAAGTAGTGAAATGGGTTCTCAGAATTTTCGTTTCCTTGAAAAGAACTTGACTCGAAAGAAAATGGGCGTGGCTCATAATTTAGTTTCCTCCATGTGATCATCTTCTTGTCTGTAACAACGAATTGAGCATTGTTTGAATTTTCGCCTTCACCTTCATCTTCCGATTCGATCGCTTCGAAAACCTCTTCCCGGAAATCGGAAAAGCTTGACTCAAGAACATTTTCTTTGTTAAATTTGCGCCTTATAAAAGAATCTATAAGAATGTCGTCCTCAGGATCGATATTTATTTCGGCTAACACATGAGTTTCAGAATCGTTTGCATCTTCGTCGAAACTATCATTTTCCTCCTCTAAATCAGATAAATTTGAATCTATCTTATCCAGTATATTCCGCTTTCAGATAAACCCTTTTTACACGAACTCATATTAAAGGAGCTTTTTAAGTTATAAATGAAAATACTCTGACTGACTCACAATTACAATATGTGAACTAATGTGCTACGCGTGTACAAAATATTTCTATGAAAAACAGCTACTCCAATATTCTTATAAATACTTCTCTAAATTTCAAATTTCGTGCAAGCAGCAGAGTCTAATATGTTGCTTTTGCTCCAACGGCCACTTCTATGCTGAGTGTAATTTAACAACCTTTCGTGTCATTTGAGTTGCGTGCATTTGTACAATATATTGCACACTTTTTTTGGGAGCGTTTATTAATTTTTTTATTGCAAAATTGTTTAAATGTGTTTATTTGTTATTGAAGAGTGAAATGTTGACTTTTGTTTTAGGTACATACTTATAGAGAAATGTTTTCATTACTTATTCAAAATATTCAATTTTGTTCATGTCCTTTAAGAAATTTATATTTTCCTCTGTGGACATTTTTTCAAACTTATATAAAATCACCGTTCTTTACCCTGTGTTCATAAATTTTCATCATAATGAAAACAGAATGTTATAGTTTCCAAAGCCTCATTTTTTTTTAAGCTGTAATAGTTCAACATTTTCAGGCCAACGAATAGCAGATATTTATACCCGAGCGCACTTGTGCACAAGGGTATTATAACTTTGTTCACATAACGGTTGTTTGTAACAGGCAAAACGAATCGAGATAGATATAGACAAATGTATACATAAATGATCAGAATGAAAAGAGAAATCGATTAAGCGGTGACTGTCTGTCCGTCCGTCCGTCCGTCCGTCCGTCCGTCCGTCCGTCCGTCCGTCCGTCTGTGCACACGATAACTCGAGTAAAAATTGAGATATCTTAACGAAACTTGGTACGTGAACTTCTTTTGGGCGTGGGACGGATGGTATTGAAAATGGGTGAAATCAGATAATAACCACGCCTACCTCCCATATAACGGTAATTTTAAGAAATACGAAAACTGCGATATTTTAGTAACTACTGAAGATAATTCACTCAAAATTGATACTTACAATGAGTTTCAGACGGAAAACATGAATATTATAAATTTTTGGAAAATGGGCGTAGCCACGCCCACTTATGGTTACATGTGTATATCTTGGTAACCGCTACACCGATTTCTTCCAAACTTGGCACAGTTGTTGGCCTTAGTACAGCTTACTAAATGGCTGAAAATTTTAAAAATCGGACAATAACCACGCCTAC